TCAAAAACATCAGAAAAACAACAGATCATCTGATCAGGCCTTAAACCAAGGTAAATAAATAGAGGGAACTTGGTAATGCTTTGAAAAAAAAAGACCTTTAATGAGATATAATTCACATATAAAATTCACCCTTTTATTTATTTTTTTTGGCGGCACCACTTGGCATGTGGGATCTTAGTTCCCTGACAAGGATTGCACCCACGCCCCCTGGAGTGGAAGCACGGAGCCTTAACCACTGGACTGCCAGGGAAGTCCAAAATTCACCCTTTTAAAGTGTACAATTCAGGGTTCTAAGTAGTCACAAGGTTTTTCAATCACTACCAATAACTTCAGAGAAATTTTATCACCCCAAAAGTATATGCTGCACCCCTTAGCACTCATTCTTCATTCTTCCCTCCCTGCAGCCATTGGCAGCCACTAATCTACTGTCTTACTGATGCCTACTCTGGAAATTTCAAATAAATGGAACTCCTCATACATTATGTAGCCTTTTGTGTCTGGCTTCTTCCACTTAACATGTTTTCAAGGTTCACCCAGGTGGTAGGATATATTGGTACTTCATTCCTTTTTATGCCTGAATAATATTCCATTGTATATTACCCACTCACGAGCTGATAAACATTTGGATGGTTTCCACTTTTTGGCTATTACAAATACGCTATGAACATTCATATATAAATTTTTGTGTGGATAAATGTTTTCATTTCTCTTAAGAGTGCATGCAATGGCTGGGCCGTAAACTCTATGTTTAACATCTTGAGGAATTAGCAAACTATTTTCCCAAGTGTGCATCATCTTACATTCCCACCAGTGATATGAGGGTCCCAATGTCTCCACATCCTCACCAGCATGTTATTTTTTGTGTTTTTTAGTTTAGCCACTCTAGTAGGTGTAAAGTAGCATCTCATTGCAGTTTTGATTAGCATTTCCCTAATGACTAATAATGTTAAGCATCTTTTCATGTGCTTACTGGCCATCTGTATATCTTCTTCGGAGAATAATTCAAATTATTTGCCCACTTTCCAACTGGGCTGTCTTTTTTATTGTTGAGTTAAAAAAATTCTTTATATGTCCTGGATACAAGTCCCTTTTTGGATATATGATTTGTAAATATTTTCTCCCATTTTGTGGGTTGTCTTTTCACTTTCTTTATATTGTCTTTTAAATCACAAAAGTTTTAATTTTTGATCAAGTCCAATTTATTTTTTTCTTTTGTTGCTGTACTTTTGGTGTCATATCTAAGAAAGCACTGCCTAATCTAAGATTACAAACCTGTTTTCTTCTATGAGTTTTATAGTTCTAGTTCTTAAATTTAGGTCTTTCATCCATTTTGAGTTAACTTTTATATATAGTATGAGGTAGCAGTCCAACTTCATTCTTCTGCTTGTGAATATTCATCTGTCCTGGCATCATTTGTTGAAAAGGCTGATATTTCCCTTTTGTCTTGGGATCCCACAGAAATCAACTGACAACAAATGAAGGGAGTTATTTCTGGACTCTCAATTCTATTCCATTGATCTATGTTTATCTTTATGCCAACGTAACACTGTCTTGATTACAGTTTCTTTGTGGTAAGTTGTAAAATTAGGAAGTGTGAATCCTCCAACTTTGTTCTTTTTTCAAGATTGTCTTGGCTATTCTGGGTTCCTTGTAATTCCATGTGACTTTTAGGATCTGCTCATCAATTTCTGAAAAAAAAAAGGCAGCTAGGATTTTGATAGGATTACACTGAATTTGTAGATAAATTCAAGGAATATTGCCATTATTGCCATCTTAAGAATACTAAGCTTTTCAATCCATGAAAATGGGATTCCTTACCATTTATTTAGGCCTCCTTTCATTCTTTTCAATGTTTCTAGTTTTCAATGTACAAGTTTCACATTTCTTCCGTTAAATTTATTCCTAAATATTTCATTCTCTTTGATGCTAGTATAAATTGAATTGTTTTATCAATTTCATTGTCAGATTGTTCATTGTAAGTGTACAGAAATACAACTGATTTTTGTATGTTGATCTTGTATTCTGCAATATCACTGAATTCATTTACTAGATCTAGTAGGTTTTTTTTGTGTGTGTGGGCCTCAAGCAATTTGACACTAGTCTCTCCCAAGACTCAAGTAGAGTATATAGAGCCAAAGTTTTAGCTTATCTTAATTCTCCAGAGTATACGTAATTTGTTCTGATTTTCTACTAACTGGTCATAGGTATAATCTTTGTGTATATAATCCATAATATTGGTATAAACTATTTGTAATAAACTTGCATGGTACTTGATAAATACTGGTTTAACACAGGCATGAAAAACTGAATCAAGGGAAGAAATGAAAATAAGGTTCACTGAATTTACATAAAGCAACAATGAAACAAAGACCTATTAGTAAGTATTCTTTCTAAAAAATTCAGAGTCTAAACTATAAATTTAGTATTGCTGTACATATTTTACAGTATATGCATACTATATGCATACTGTGTTCACAGGTCTATGAACAGTGAAAATTTCCACTGCAGATATCCAATTTGCTGAATGTTTGTTCTATTTAAAACAAGTATTTGAGTAATAAAAAAATCTACTTTAAAAAAATCTACTTTTCCTTTATTTGAGGCAGTAAATTGGAAAATATAATTAAATTTTAGGAAATAGTAAAGAACAGCACTTTACACATATGCAGAAATAGTTATTCTTAGGCATCAAATTAGAAGACTATTTGAAATTTCAGATGATTTTAGATGCCTTCCATGTTCTGTTTTTGAAACATTATGGTCCAAAGACTCAAAACAAATTTAAAAGGATGGCACAGACATAATATTTGAATAACAAAACACTTTTCTCACACCTAGCAATACTTTTCTAAATGATCCTTCAAAATGAAATGCTTTACTACCTGAGTTTAGTCTTTGGAAGCATGACCTTAGATTTTTACCAAATTGATACTACCATAAGAAAAGAAGGTTCTAAAGTCACAAAGGAAGTCAGTCACACTCTTTATCTTCTAGAACAGGAAGTATGGAAGTTTTCTTCCTTGGAAAGTTAGGAGACAGTTCTCTCACAATATTTATTCTTTCAGATATAAGGCAAGATCCAAAATGTAGACACTGTCACAATTGGTTTTAAAATGTGTTCCTAATGAAATTACCCAAAAAAAAAAATTGTGCTAGTAAATTATAAACCTTCTTCTAAGGAAATGTTTTAATTATTAAATAAACGTTTTCTTTTTTAAATTTTAGATAAGATAGAGCTGTTTACACAATGGAAATATGGTTTATCAATCACAATTTTTATTCTTTGGCTAGCAGGCTTGTTTTCCCTTATCCCTCAAGATCAAAATATAGCAAATACATTGTTTTCACCTCCTCCTCCACATTTCTGTACAAGGACGTAAGCACATGATATTTACTACCTAGGGTTAGTTGAACACGTATGAATCCCAAGCTGTGTCCTTAGAATTCAACTGTACCAAAAGGTGTCAAAAGGCTTTTGGACAGTACTTTCTAAAAAGCATATTATTTTCTCAGGGGCTTCAGTTTAACAAGTTTTCACTAAGCGAACTTGTTTTCTAAAGTTCTCCAAAGTGGATCTGATACTCTCAAATCACTGTCAAGTAGGTAACACACAAATTTACCTAGAATTTAAGATCCAGCAGTTTATTACATAATTTTTAATATCCAGAATTTAGAGACTCCTACAAAACTCACTGAGAAGGTAGGCAAGCCTGGATTGCTGCTCTAGTTCAACAGGAATTCTGAATCTTTTCTGTGCCTTACACTCCTTTTGCAATTTGGTGAAGCCTCTGGACCTCTTCTTTGAATAATATTATTAAATACATAACAGGATTTACAAGGAAACTAAAAAGTAAACTTGGAATATGTTTTTTATGTATTCCTCTATTGTATTAAATAACAAGTTCAGTGATGTAAAATAATTACTGTAATCTTGAAGAAATAAATAAACAGTATTTCTAGGTATCTGCAACAATTAATGTGGTATGAAAATATTTGTGATTTCTATTGATGACAAAGCCACAAATACTACTGTGATTTACTGCTTATATTCACAGTTGAAGAAAAGAGATTTTGGTTAAAGTTGAGTGAAAATTCCTGGTACCTTTCTTTACATCCAAGTTCACTGGCCACCTAAAGTCTATATATGCAGCCCAATTTAAGAACTCTGATCAGAATTTCATATTTTACAAAAGAAGTTTTGCATATCATTATTCTAGCACATTCGTGTATGTATAAGGCAAGGCACTTCACTAAAGTCTTCGCTAAGCTTATCTTTTCTTCACCACAAGGTTAAAACTAGTTTCAAATTGCTTTCGGTCTTTCTCTCCATAACTGAATGAAATGTTGGCCAACTGTGCTAGATCTAGTACATAAACTTTTATTTTAAAATGTATTATCCGTATCACCCCTAAAAACGTTCCTCATAATGTTAGTCTAGAATCGCGACATTTTTCAAATTTCTACAATATATATGACTTACAATGACATCTTAAAAGTCAGAAACGTATTTGTAGCTAAAACATCACATTTTAAACATAGCTCCCTGCCTCCCTTCAACCCAGTAACTTAGGTTATTAGATTTTTTTTTTAAGAAAAAAAAAATGTTTAAGGTGTGTGGGGGGCTGGGAGAACCTCACAACCCTTCACTAAAACTTTGCACTACTTTTAAGTCTCAGTTCGCCGTAACCGACTAGATCCGGGCCTAGCCGGTCCCGCAGTCCCGTGACTAGTACGGTCCAGGGAGAGGAAAAGGGGACAACAGAGGAGAGTCCCCCAGAGCCAGGAGCCAAGGCGGGGAACCTCGACTAGACAGGAACCAGGAGGAAGCAGCAGCCGAGGCGGGAGGCCTCTGCAATTCAGGCGCTTGCCTTCCACCCCCGACCCGTCCCCGACTCCCTAACCCGCGCGGCCTCTACCCATTTCGGCCCCTGCCCTGCCGCAGGGCCCCGCAGCACTCTAACCTCCGCCTGCCCCCTTTTCTTCCACGGTGGAGAAGTCACCTGAAATGACCGGCCAGGGAGCAGCGGCAGCACCACACGGGCATGGAGCGCGGCGCACGGGGCGCCCGAGCGCGACCGCCACGGCCACCTCCCTCGGCGGGGTTGCCCGTTCAGGACGCCCGCCCGGTTACGGGGTCCTCGGCCGCGCCCCGCGCCTAGCCGTTGCAGCGGCTGCCGGAAGCTGCGGTTTAGCAGCCGGCCGGGCTTTGGAGCACCCAAGCCCGCTTCAGGAAAGCGGCTTCCGCTCCTCGACTAGTGGCAGCAGGACGCCGGCGGCCTATGATCTCTGGGCGCCGCGAAGGGGGCGGAACGGGGCGGGGACGCTGCGACGGCTGCGGCGGAGGCGGGCGGGCTTCTCCTCGCAGGTGCGGAGGCGGTGGCGGCGGGCGAGCCCCGGGATTGGTGGAGCCGCGGCCACAGCGAGGGGCCCGGCCTGAAGAAGTGTTGGCTGAGAGGGCGGGGGGCCGAGGTAGTCCGCCCACCAGACGGCTGGCGGTGGCTACTGTGGCCCGGGCCTCGGCCTGCGCCCTGCGGCCCCTCCGCGTGCTCCCGACCTGCGGCGTGGGAGGTTGGCGAGGCTGGGAGGATGTGCGTCCTGAGTGCCGGATGACAAGGGGAAGAGGAAGAGCTACTAACCTCGGTAGCGGGACGGATAGGGGGAAATCCCTGCGTGCTGCGCGGCCTCTGCGACCCGAGCACCCCAGTGTCTCCAGAGTCGGTCCACGCGGGCCTCTCACTGAGGACGCCCGGCAAGACCGAGATTCCCGCTCGACGAAAACCACTTTGGCGCCTTACCTCGCGCTGGCCTGGGCGCAGACGCCCGGAGCTTGAGCGCGCTTTTCGTTCTTGATCCTGCCTCACAATCGCTTGAGAGAACTCACCAAACCATGGGTGCCCGGGCCCCACCCCAAGGGTTCTGATGGGGGAAGTCTGGCTTTCCGACTGAGGCCTCCCTTCCTTAAGTGGCATCGCTGGTTAAAAATACAGGTGCTCAGCCCCGCCCCAGATTCACTGAGTACCTTTCATGGAGGGGGAAAGGGCAGGGACGTGTATTTTTTAAGTCCCTCCAGGTGGTTATAATGCAAGAAAAATTAGAAAGTACCGAGTAATGAGTGTCCCTATTCGGTATTTTCAAGAAATGAAGGGGGGGAAAAGACCTGGGAGAAGTGATTAATTGCATATACTGTTATATAGAGATGTCTTTCTATCCCTCTTTCCAAAGAGCGCTAATTATTTTTGCAGTTAAAATCTGGGCTACGTAAGTTTCTGGTTTTAAATAATTTTTTAAGTTCTCAATTTTTGCTGAATGTTGTCATTGAACAAACTTGGACTTAGCAGGTATTTTAGAGTCTGTGGAGATTAAAATGAAGTTTTAGGACTCAGACTGACTCCAGGATTATACAATCTAAAATAATATATTCATTCCTACATATACACTTATATTCATGTTACTCTAATGTTTATTTTAATGTTTCAGAAATTGAAGCATAATTTTCTGTTGATATTCATAACATTATCCTTTTAAAGGAACTAAATTCGTAATAGCTATGCCAATCCAGAGAATTGAAATATTTAAAACTGTAAGGTTTATGAGTACTTTGTATAACTTTTTCTTTTCTTTATGGCTTTGTTTTCACTTTGAGTTTCTTGTGGTATTTTCAGATGAATTAATAAAGTGAGCATATCAAATTTTAGCCTTAAGCAGATGTGTATTTAAACCTCCGGAACTTGCTATCATGGTTTACCCTTGATAAGGGCTAATGATTAAACCAGGTCACAATAACTACATAGAGGATTTTTCTTATAGCAAATGGGGCACATCAGAATTTTTGTTTCTGTTTTTTGAAATTGTAGGGTGAGGTGCTATTTAAATATAAAATCCAGGTTTGATGAGGTCATGGAGCAACAGACTCAGATACTGCTGCTGAGAGTGTAAATTAGTATGTAATCCAAACTCCCCCATTTGCATAATAGACTCTCATTCCTCCTTTCAGCACATGCAGTAGCACATTTAGGGTGGAGCTTATCTCACACTATCAACCATTCCAAAACAACCCTCCTTACTGGTGTATAATATACCAGTATTTTATACATTAAATTATAGTATAGTAGTTAAAAGGACTGTCTATTGGAATCTTCACTGTGCTAGCAGTGTGATCTTGGACAAGTTACTTAGCATTTCTGGGCTTTGATTCCTCATCTGTAAAATGAGATAATTAGTTCATTGGTTATAAGAATTAAATTTAAAAATACTTATAAAGCACTTACCACAGTACCTGGTTCATGTTAATAAATATTAAAATAAATATAAAATATTAAATAAATATGAAAATAAATACTTTTCATTATTATCAATAATATTGTAAAATATTTTCACATTTTCTAAAATCAGGAAGTATGTGTATGGATTGAAATGTGCTCTCCCCCACTCCACCCCAATTCATATATTAAAGCCCTAACCCTAATGTGACTGTATTTGGAGATAGGGCCTGTAAAGAGGTAATTGAGATTAAATGAGGTCATGAGTGTGGAACTCTAACCCAGTAGGTTTGGTACCTTAGAAGAAGAGGAGCGGTCTCTTTTTGCCAGATGAGGACACAGGAGAGGGTGGCAAGCCAGGAAGAGAGCTCTCACCAAGAACCAAATCAGCAGCCTCCTTGGTCTCAGAACTTCCAGGCTCCAGAATTGTAAGAAAATAAATATCTGTTTAAGCCACCTACTGTATGGCGTTTTGTTTTGGAGCCTGAGCTGACAAAGATAGTATGTTTTTGCATTTTCTAGAAGCAAACAAAAAATTGTAATGGAAATTATTCAAAATAAACTGTTGCATTTTGTATACTAGGTAAACCTGTCAATGGACCATTTCATATGCTTGGTAGTATAAGACTAAGTTTTAGAGGGGTTTAGAAAACATTCTAGAAAAACAGTTCCTCCTTTTTTGAAACTCTGGGAAGTTCAGATACTGTTCAGATTTCTTTATCCTCAGGCCCACTGACACTTTTTGCTACAGAGAATTACCTCTGTTTAGCTGCCAATTTGGAATACTCATCAGCTCTATTCTCTATCTAGATGGCAAATTTTTAAAAAATGCTTCCCTGACTACATGGGAAATTGGGGACTTACTGGTGCTGGGGACTTAAGATAAAGTTTGTTCCTGCAATTTGAACTCAGGGGATTAGAAAATTCTATACCAAGAAGGCTGCTTGCTAAAACTACAATTTATTTTTGTGGCTATTGTAGCAGTCAGATTCAGTTGCAGAGAACAGAACTCATAAAGTTCACTCTAGCTCTTAAGAATCACTCTTAAGAGTTGCTTTCAGAGAGGAACCAAGATGGCGGAGTAGGCAGACGTGCTCTCACTCCCTCTTGCAAGAACATCAGAATCACAACTAGCTGCTGGACAATCATCGACAGGAAGACACTGGAACTCACCAAAAAAGATACCCCACATCCAAAGATGAAGGAGAAGCCACAATGAGATGGTAGGAGGGGTGCAATCACAGTAAAATCAAGTCCCATAACTGGTGGGTGGGTGACACACAGACTGGCAAACACTTATACCACAGAAGTCCACCCACTGGAGTGAAGGTTCTGAGCCCCACGCCAGGCTTCTCAACCTGGGGGTCCTGCAACGGGAGTAGGAATTCCTAGAGAATCAGACTTTGAAGTCTAGTGGGAATTGATTGCAGGACTTCAACAGGACTGGGGGAAACAGAGACTTCACTCTTGGAGGGCACACACAAAGTAGTGTGTGCGTCGGGACACAGGGGAAGGAGAAGTGACCCCAGGGGAGAATGAACCAGACGTACCTGCTAGTGTTGGAGGGTCTCCTGTGGGGGAGGGAGAGGTGCTGTGGCTCACCGTGGGGACAAAGACACTGGCAGAAGTTCTGGGAAGTACTCCTTGGCGTGAGTCCTCCCAGAGTCTGATGTTAGCCCCACCAAAAAGCCCAGGTAGGCTCCAGTGTTGTGTTGCCTCAGGCCAAACAACCAACATGGAGGGAACCCAGCCCCACCCATCAACAGTCAAGTGGATTAAAGTTTTACTGAGCTCTGCCCACCAGAGCAACAGTCAGCTCTGCCCACCACCAGTCCCTCCCATCAAGCCTTTTAGATACACTCATCCACCACAGGGCAGACAGCAGAAGCAAGAAGAACTACAATCCTGCAGCCTGTGGAACAAAAACCACATTCACAGAAAGATAGACAAGATGAAAAGGCAGAGGGCTATATACCAGATGAAGGAACAAGATAAAACCCCAGAAAAACAACGAAGTGAAGTTGAGATAGGCAACCTTCCAGAAAAAGAATTCAGAATAATGTTAGTGAAGATGATCCAGGACCTCCGAAAAAGAATGGAGGCAAAGGTGGAGAAGATGCAAGAAATGTTTAACAAAGACCTAGAAGAATTAAAGAACAAAGAAACAGAGATGAACAATACAATAACTGAAATGAAAACTACACAAGAAGTAATGAATAGCAGAATAACTGAGGCAGAAGAACGGATAAGTGACCTGGAAGACAGAATGTTGGAATTCACTGCTGTGGAACAGACTAAAGAAAAAAGAATGAAAAGAAATGAAAACAACCTAAGAGACCTCTGGGACAACATTAAATGCAACAACATTCATATTATAGGGGTCCCAGAAGGAGAAGAGAGAGAGAAAGGACCAGAGAAAATATTTGAAGAGATTATAGTCAAGAACTTTCCTAACATGGGAAAGGAAATAGCCACCCAAGTCCAGGAAGCACAGCGATTCCCATACAGGATAAACCCAAGGAGAAACAGGCCAAGACACATAGTGATCAAACTGGCAAAAATTAAATACAAAGAAAAATTCTTGAAAGCAGCAAGGGAAAAATGGCAAATAACGTACAAGGGAACTCCCATAAGGTTAACAGCTGATTTCTCAGCAGAAATTCTACAAGCCAGAAGGGAGTGACATGATATACTTAAAGTGATGAAAGGGAAGGACCTAAAACCAAGATTACTCTACCCACAAGAATCTCATTCGGATTCGATGGAGAAATCAAAAGCTTTACAGACAAGCAAAACCTAAGAGAATTCAGCACCACCAAACCAGCTCTACAACAAATGCTAAAGGAAATTCTCTAGGTGGGAAACTGAAGAGAAGAAAAGGACCTACAAAAACAAACCCAAAACAATTAAGAAAATGGTCATATGAATGTACATATCATTAATTACCTTAAACGTGAATGGATTAAGTGCTCCAACCAAAAGACACAGGCTTGCTGAATGGATACAAAAACAAGACCCATATATATGCTGTCTACAAGAGACCCACTTCAGACCTAGGGATATATACAGACTGAAAGTGGGGGATGGAGAAAGACATTCCATGCAAATGGAAATCAAAAAGCTGGAGTAACTATACTCATATCAGATAAA